TAAGACACGCACGTAGTGGCAGCATAGAAAAAGATTAACCAAGTCTTGGGGTCCTTGAAGCACTCAATCACCCTACCAAGCATCTCATTAAATACCATTATAGTGTGAAGACAAAATACGTACTGATACTTCTTGAACCGCTTGTTCTCTGCACCAGCTTGGTTTACCTTGATGCGCTCGACTGCGATCGACTTTTCTTCCGGGGTGAGGAACCACGCGTTAGCAGGAGAATCAGGGAACATGAACCTAAGCACATGTATTTTCAGCACGTCGAGTCGTCAGATGCACGGCATGTATGCTAAACGCACCAGAACAAAATCGCAACAACGAATGTGATGATCCCAAATATCAGCATCAGCCTACAGGGAACGGCGCTTTAGCCTTCGTTGCAAGTATACGCATGCTACGCACCACTGCCACGGTTCGAGAACGTTCGACTGGATGTGCAAGGTCCCGTACGCAATAAGCCCGAGCATGACAACCGCAGCACCGTTCATGAGGTCTGTAGTAATTCGCCATCGTCCCAGTCAACCAGTCTGCATTATGTGAAACAGAGAGAGCATACGCACACCAATAACCCACACGCAACGTCTGCTCCTGGCGCGTATAGAACATGGAGGTGACAATCATGAACCCAGGTGTGATCGCACCCTCACATATACCGAGGAAGACACGACATGCGAACAGTGCCCCAAAGCTCTTCGCTGCCGCATGACACAGTAGTGCGATGGACCAGACCAGGATATTGACGCTGTCGACAGTCGCATGTTAGCTCATATATGAAAGGAACGCATATATGCGCAGGAGAGAAAGTAAGCAGCTCACCTAACCCATTTACCGACCGGGAAGCGTTGGAGAGCATAATTCTGAGGGAACTCGAAGCCGAGGTAGAACAAGTAAAAGATGGTCCCGAGCCAGTTGAATTGGTTCTGCGTCAGGAAGGCGTTCGGAGCATTTCTGCCGGACGTGGAGTGGATGTAAGCGCGTGCACGCACAAGTACGGGGTGGGGACTTACAGCAGTTTGAGGACAGCAGACTGGCCAAGTGTTGTCTTGTCCGCGGATTGCATCCTTGGGGTGGCGCAAGTCATCGCCGGCGGTCTGGACTGGACACAGGAGATGCTCACAGGTACGTTACTCGTAAAACGCACGACGGTTAGCACACATTGGTAGAATTTCACAGCGCAAAGGGAATGCTCACTGCACATGAGAGGTAGTAGATACAAATCAATTTTCCGCCTATGAAGGGCCGGTTTAGTCAGGACAACTGAGCAGAGAAGGGTGCGACCCACCGAACCCTCTTGGCCTCCACCGGATCGAGGACGAAATCGTTGCCCGAGGCGAGCTGTGCAGCGATATCGACCTCATAGGTAGAAACGACGTCATGATCGAGATGCTTCTTCTCAACCGACGAGGACAGGTCGTCGACATGGGCGGCAGGACGCTTTAGATCGCTCATGGCAGGACGAGACGAGGGGACGTGCAGATTAAGAGCGCCGTGGTGGACCTCAGACTATATACTTGATGGATTTGGGGGGCATATCACACACGGGCGTTCGGGACAGCCAGCATTGATAGAGCTAGTGGGACGGAAGCATCAGTGCCCTCAGCCCAGGCTCCTAGAAGCGTCCGTCGCTGGAGGTTCTCGTTGAGTCCAATCCCACTTGGCACTTGCTAGGACATCAGTGCAAGGTCTGCGTGACGCTTACATAAGATTCTCATGCGCCAAAGCGCGATCGAGAGCACTTAATCAGTGGCTGATCGCGTCATCAGCGCCCAGACCGGCCAAGCAGACCCCTTCCTTCGGTATGGGAATGGGTCTGACGGGCAGTATCTCGTCGGATGCGGTCTGCATCAGGGGTTTCTGTTGTGAGAAGGTAGCGGTTCGAGCGAGAGAGGCAGGAGACGAATCAATTTAGGAGCTAGTATGTAGTCGTCTCAAGTTTTCTGGTGTTTTACACTTTTGTAACCTTCCAATCAACATGAATTTAGAGGCATATTCTTGGTACTTATGAAGCAATACACTGATAAAGACTTAGAATATATTTAAATAACATGTCACTACTATCTTGTCTTTGCTTTTGGTGCTTATTTTTCAAGTAGCTAAATTTAAAAGCGGAAAAAAGCACTAAAGTTTTGAAGACACAACAGCAATAAATACTGAATAAATAAGAATATGTTTGGAGAAGAATAAGCCTTGATCTTTTTTTTATTAACTTCTATACTTATGTTTAGAGTAGTCAAGTCAGAGATGAGTTCAAAAATTATAATAGCATCAAAGCCCAAAGCTATGAAGCTGGAGAGTAAGTGTAATAGAAAGGTACGTATATTTCTTTAAAAAGTAACAAACATGGAAATGATATAAAGCAGCTACTAGTAAATCACAAACTCCCCACCAACTCGTACTGCTTTAGATCTGTTCAATTGTAGCGTGATCACCATATTTTCCAAAGTCTCACCAGCAACAGCATATGCTATGATACAATTTTCATGGCAAATTACAATGATTGCATTTTTCCTTATTCCATTAATCAAAACGTCCCCGTTCACTACGATACAATACAAATGCTATAGCAAGAAAACAGTATAGACAAAGATTCACCAGCATTTCGCTCCCCACGTCCAACTCTCTGCATGATCTATAGCACATACCTAAAGTCTCGATTTTGAATATCTGTCAGGTCCAAGAAGGCCTGTGGGGTTCGACGTTAACACACATCCAGATACAACAGACAGCAGCACAGAACGAACCTTATCGACCTTCTTCTCCTCACCCGTCTTCTCATCTATCATGTACACCTCGTCATACGTCGGGTCCCGAGGCTCCGCGTCGCGCCGGGCGTTCTCCCGTACGAGTACCCATCGAGTGACCAGCAGCAGTACGAGACAGGTCGCCCAGCATGCAGTGAGGATCGCCCATGGGACATGGTTGCTGCGAGGTAGGCACGATATCAACGACCCCACCCCAATCGAGAATGAAAGGAGACGCACCGAGGATGATATTTCGCCAGCCAAAACTGCGGCCCGACGGCATTACCAAGGGCATATCCGACCATGACCATGGCGTTCATCGTTACGCGCTTCGTGTGTCCTGCTGTAAGCGACCCGACCCACGCCAGGACAACGACAAACGGTGAGATCATCGTGACTAGACGCAATAGCACAACGTTCATCAATACGGCATCGACATTAGAAGACCGCCTGTCGCGAGACCGGGGAAAACACGAAACGCACTCGAAATCCAGTACGAAAATAATAGCCCGACCCTGTCCGACGATGGCAGCACATTCACGAGAATGGAGCCGAAGATCGCCACGGCGTAGGCAAGTGCAGCCGAGTATGCACGGCCGTTAGGCCAGTACGTAGCGGACATCGTCGTGCAAAAAATCTGAATGACTGCACGTATAGAAACGAACGAAGGAATGCATGATCGTTAGCGCAGAGAATAGATTGAAAGCAGGAAGACACACTCTCAACGACACCATCGACACATCCGAGCAGCGTAGTCTGGGTGTTGGTGAACCCAAACTCGGAGACAACGATTTGTCTCTGGTTGGCGAGCTGCGTACGAAAATCATGTTAAATCACCT